TCTATTTGTTTTTTAAATTATCACATGAAAACAACTTTGTTAAAATTTTAACTAAAGCTTCATAAAGTATTTCAGTATTTTAAATACTTTCTGCTCTGTAAGCCATATCTAAGTGTGATCTGATTTTGCACAGGAAGCTGAACAAATGACAGGGCTCTGCGCAAGGACAGAGGTAGATTTTGTGCGGTTCTCAGTGTGCGCTGAGGCCATCAGGCTAAACTGTGGCTTTGCTGCGAGCAAGACACTGCTCTGAGAAACAGATGAGGAAACAGATTGCAACTCGCAGACTGACAATCTGCTTGCTGGGATTCTTATACTTCAGAGGAGAAATATCTTGGGCCAGGCCTATACATGGTGTAGCTGCGCTAAGGAAGGATAAGCAAAGAATGGAGCCATTCCCTGCCACAGCCTGCCAAGTGTAGAAGAGGAAAAAAAGCAGCTCCATGCAGGCTGCTCCGCCCTCCCATGCTGTGTAATGGCAGCAGCCAACAAAGAGCAAGAAGGGGCCAACTCACCCCTTCCCTACTACTCTGTGCCAGTTCTCATTAATTCATATTCTGTCCCATAGTCCTGTTAAAAATCCAAAGCTCTTTTAACATGTAAAGTTTAAAAAGACTAAGAATTAGCATTTAATCAAGAACTATCCGGTTTTCTTTAGGTTGTAGCATATTAGTAGGGCAAAAAGGCATGTACGTGACTGCGCGCAGCAAAATGATACAAAGTCTCTGGGATACAGGAAAACCTTCAAAGTTACTTTTCCTAACACGCTTTGAAAGAAATGAAGCCTGTTTTTACCCAATAATGAAAAACTGGCTGGTCAATAGAAACATGTTTGGTGTATGTAGATAATCAAATTAAGCAAATTAAAAGAAAAATGTTTTTGTTAGAAACACTTTACTCTTTTTATGTGTTAAATCATTTCATGTACATTTAAGGATTTGGGGTACAGGAATTGAATTATACGTTCTGTTAGAGGGACTGTGGGATTTCACTCTCAAGTTTTCATGTTTATACTGGAATAATATAAGCGCCAGTGAAATAATTTCAAAATCTGAAAATTCTCTTTGCAATCTCTTTACACAGCTGAAAAACATATTTCTTTTTTAATATGAAATGTAGTTAATATACTAACACGTGACAATTCCAGGAAGTGGAATCCCAGAAGAAACAGAGAAAAGAAACTTGCCTTACAGTTCAGTCTTCTAAACTCCAAATGTTTTCTGAGGTGTCTCAAAATAGCCTTGCAAAAGAACAGATCCCAGCCCTGCTCTACTGTTTTGGGTTGATGACTATAGCCTATACACACAAGTAACACACCTTTAGATCTCCTAGTGCATCCCACCCGGAATTTAGCTGTATCTCCACAGGCATGGTTCTTTGTAAAGTCCATCAGCCCATGCAGATGCCTCAGAAACTCATGGGCATCTAAAATGCCAATACAAACCCAGGTTTAAGCAACTAAATTACTCTATGCCAGACATTTCCTGAGGATTATATTTTTGCTCTAGTATGTTGCAATACCTTATGCTAACTTTTGCACCTGAGGAATTCACCTTCAGTATATTCACCCACAATCTTTATAGTCCAGAGCAAAGTATGGAGATTGAGGAAGGGGGCCACAAACTGACCCAGAGCCTTTCAATGCTTCTCCTGAACTGAACCAAGTTACACGGTCCACACAGTCAAACATCACTGATTCGTTGTTATTGCTTTAGATAAATCAATTTGGGCATGAGGTCTTACATAGTATCTATTACAGATATCTGGGTGCATATCACCTCTTAATGAAGCATATATCATTTTTGTGTGCTCAGCACATACTCTGCTTTAAGCACGTGTTTAAATCCTCACAAGAATTCATTCATATATTTATATGTGTGCTTAAATAGCCTTCCAGAACAGTGTTGTTTTCCTGAACTGTTGTCATAATTTAATGTAATGACATGTAAGTTAGGAGTCAGCCCTTTGAAAATTAGATAATTTACTCCACAATTAATGTCAATGAATAGGTTCGTCTATAAAACAACCATACAAAAGCTTGCCCTATTTTTTCCCCAAGTACCATAAAATACACTGAGTCAGAAAAGAATTGTTATAAAAATGTAAATAGACGATCAGAGCTCAGATAGTTTGTTTCTTGGTTCAGATAACAATCTATGTGTATTTGTGAATTCGTGAATGTTAAATTTCATTCACAACATACGTAATTGCTGCAAAGCAAATTTCCACAAAAAAGGCATCAAGCCATGGAGAGTTCAGCCACATAAACTGAGTTGTCTCCAGCTCTTAGAAGAAATCCAAAGGGAAAGTGTACTGCTACTCAGACCAACATATCAGACACAGTATTAGTCCATTTATATGCTGAAAGACTTGGACTGTTCCAACCGAATGCTAGTAGGAACAGCACTGCCAAAAGGGGAAAGAAAAAGCAACATGGACCTTTCTCACCACAAGGGGACAGGTACAGTTCTGGGGCACCATTTTAGGAATCAAGTAATAATTATGATCAATGAAACACCAGGAGTCACTGCCAAACACAATGTCTCCTTAAGATTCTATAAAAAGAAGAAAAATATATCCCTATATTTTTTCTATTGCTTTCTCTTTATTATAACTTTCAAAAGCAGTTTTTATTCTTATAAACAGTATGCAAAAAATACTAGCATAGCTCTATTAGTAAGCTACTTCAATTAGTTTTCTATTAAAAAAATCTTTGGATCCTCCCAACCTCAAATTCAAACTTTTATACCATGCAATTATGGCTCCTCTACAACTTCACTATTTTCAGCAAGTGTTGATTTCCTAAACAGGATCAAGGTGTTAGTATGACTCCCTTTCAGTACCTTCTTTTGTTTCCATGTGTTCTGTACCAAGATAGATCCAACCTTAATCTTGCATGTCATTCTGGGCTTAATCCATAATTACTGGCATCAGTTAGATCATGCAACATCTCCAAAAAAGGTACGGTAAAATACCTAGCACATATACCTCTTTCTTGAAAACACCTTCTATAATGCATAGTAGCTCCTACTTTGAGCATGCCTGGTAAAGTCAATAAAATTACTAAGGTTCCCTCTCAAAAGCATTATGTTCAATAGTGTGTTAGATTGTGAATGTTTATGCATCAATCTGTTACTGAATTCTTTTTAAATGTATTCAAATAACATCTTTAAAATTAGAAATATTTCAGCAGCTGTATGCTAAATTTTTACTTTTAATTTTTGAAGTTACCTGTACAGAAGCCACAGACATTCTTTATAACATTAATAAGAAACATCATAAAAAAAAAAACAGTATATGTTTTACTTTGCTTTACTTCTCTTTAAGCTAAGTGCACTTCCAGGGGAAAAAAAAAAAAAAAAAGACTACAGCTTACAACCTAAAATACTTAAATTCTGAGTAAGAAACAATGACTGGCATGACCCATCTGTATATACAAAACACATGGTTAATGAGTTCTGTATACACAAAGTAAAACACTGCTGTTTAATAAAAAACGCAAGCAAATACACTCCCTCTGGATATACAGAACTTAGGATATACAACATGAAAGTAGCAGTGCAAGAATATAGCACAGGCACTAGCCCTGAAGAAAGTCACTACACAAATCATGCAGTAGAACTGGATTATAAATGGCTAGTCATTGTACCGAAGTGAACTGACTTCTGTGCTTACAAAAAATAGGTATCACATTTTAAGAAGACTCATATTTTAAATTCAGCCAGTTATCTGGCATACTCCTTGCTAAGCAGCCTATTCAAATACAGTACCAAAAGCAATCGCATGGTGTGTTTTGATTTTGGTCAATGGGCTAGTAATTAAACAATGGTGCAACAACTAATTGAACTGGGGTACCAGAGAACTTTGGTAAACTATGAATATCTGAACTGTTGTTGTTTATAGAACTAAAACCAGCTTTAAAATAGTAAGACTTTATAATAGAGTTTAAACAGGTATAATATGGACAGTTACACTAAATTTCTTCTGATGGGGAACACTGAAATAACAGAAATATATTGACAAGGATGTACTGGCAATAGCATCACAAATATATTCCCATTTAACCAATTTCCGTTTCTCTAGGCCTTTTCTTTCTTTCCTGAAAAAATACCCAACCCAAACCAAAACAAAACCCCAATTTATCCAAGTTCTAGGTCAACAGTGTTTCAGTTCATTTTGTCTTCTTTTGCTACGCCTAGTGTAGTATTGAACACTAGCACTGGACTGTGTGCTGCAGACCTCTTGTTTGAATACTGTCAAATGTCATAAATGCTTGTGATGATGCTCTTACTTAAGAGCATGACGGAACTTAACATCAAAGCCATGCTGTAGATTGCCTGAGATATGACTAATGACTAAAGTTAAGTCCTTTCACCCAACATGGCCAATAACCCAGTTTCACTCCACTAAATCCAGGTACCTTGAAAGTAATGATGCTCTCACCTAACCTGCTCCATAAGTTTTACACCTCCTCTGCCTCAATGTTCTCTCATAAAAAAGGATTCCCGTCCTTTGTTTTGTAGGCTCATTACTACAGCATGCCTAATTTCTTCTGCAAGTGAGGGTAGCAGCTATGGGTGAGGGTATGGAGTGAAGCTATGGCTTTTTACACAGAATTCCACAATGCAATGCCTTGTCTGTGATTAACGCTTCCATCTGCGATTAAAAGCAGCAATTTGAAGATGAAATATCAAAGGGTAATTAGTATATTGTGCATACATTAGCCTAGCAATAAAAATGTAAGTTCTGCACCACAGCTAGTAACAGAATGAACAAGTACCTTACAGACGCATTGAAGGCAAGGAATTCAGTATCACTATATTAATAAAATGACTGCCTGTGACTTTAAACACAGGCACACTTGCACTTGGCGAGAGAGTGAACGGTTTATTGTTACTATGAAGGATGCAGGAATGGAAATGAAGATGAGAGGGCCGATGATGATGATAGGGAAGAAGAGGTTAACATCCCCAGCATCTGATGGGGAACGATGTCCCTACCTCAGTAAGCTGGATAAGGGAATAGCTCCAGATCCACTGCCCAGGATCCCTCCTTTCCTCCCAGAGAGGAGTTTCTCCACCAGAGCCACATTCCCAGTGCGAGCAGCTTCCAGCAGTTCCTGGTCCTTCCCCATGGTCAGGAACCAAGCAGCCCCCCACGCACCCCGCCGCGCACTGAGCGCGCTACGCCCCGGGCCACAGCGGCCCCCCCGCTCTCCGCGGAACGCTCTCCCCTCCCCAGACCCTGCCTCGGAGCAGAGCAGAGATTCCTGCAGTCCCTTCCAGACCAGCAGGAGGAGCGGCAGGAGGGAGGAGGAGAATCACCTCCTCCTAGTTTCACTGGATCATTTCTGGGTGGAGTGTGGAAGAG